GTCGAATGGCATGATATGCTGCTTCGGTTGGCCGACATGTCGTGCTAGAGCATGCCGCGATGCTACTCTGCTCCGCGGCGGGCGGCGCGGGCGTACGTGTGAACTCTGAGTGCCGAATGGCATCAGGAAAACCTCTGTCCAAGGCCTGTTTGATTTCCTCTATCGTCGTCTTGCATCGGCGCTGGCCACCCGATGGAGGGGAGGGGGAGAGATTGAGGGAGAGGAGGGGTGGGCAATGCTTCGAGCTTGAAGCTACTAGCGGTCCGCTGGTCGGTTTCCCGGCGATTATGACGAGGGCTTGACGCGTAGCAGAGTGCGACTTTACGTTGTCATTTGTTGGAGAATTAGAGGAGGGGCCGCTAGGAGGCTGCTCGCCCGGCTGGAGAGTTCTTCAAGGTGTCTGCAGAGTGTCTGTCTGGTCTCTGCGGACTGCCGTCCGACACTCGAGACGCAGAGTGATCCGGAACGGCGTTGGGGATCGCTCACAGGCAATCTCCCTGTAGACGTCCAATAGAGCCCCGGAGTGCTGACTCAGGGGATCCTCGTTCTCTTTAGTGACTAAAGTAGCATGGAAGGGCCAGCCTTCGTCTTCCGGCCGGCACAGGTCCAGGCGTCCCTTTGAGTTCCCGAGCGCTGAAGACAGGCGATCCCTTATCTGCACCATCCTGTACCTGCAGCTGTGATTTGCGCTGCTGTCCAGTGTCTCCGTCATGTCCAGCTGAGAGGCAGTCGTAAAGGACACCATTCCATTGGATCCGCCAAACTCTGCATAATGACTTCACATGTCAGTTGCCCATCGACTCATCCCAACTACATCGCCCTTGTCGTCGTCCACTGCCTCTGACGGCGAAGAGTCCGGAGATTTGAGTGAGTGAGGGGGGTCCCCTATGGCCCTATGCCCTCCTTGGAGAATGATGAGCATCTAAGCCTTCCGGGGACACAGCAGCAGCAGCAACATCAGTAGGCCAGCAGGAGCTCCATGTCATGTCCCTTACTGGCCGCACAGAGGATCGACGTGCTAGAGGCAGATCTCTTAGTGGCATCTATCGCTGTAAAGCCCGCTCCATACAGGGGGCATTTGCCCGCCGGAAGGCCTGCTGGACGATGGATCCTCATCACCTCATCCGCTCTACACTAACAAGACAAGGTGAACGTTGCACGCAGATACCCGCTCTGCGAACGATGGGACACAGAGACAGAAAGAGGGTCAATAATACGATGCCGTCGGAACGTGCTCCAAGGTCGATGCTGACGGGATGTGCGGCAGATGAAGCTCCCCTCAGCCACCAGCCTAGCCAGGCTATTTCGACCTTGGCCCGACGCTATCGCTGGCCAGGCCGCCCTCATGGTCTCTTGTACGGGTACATGGCTTTTGGAAGGGAGCTTGTACCTGAACTAAAGATACTAGGTAACTAAGGCCTGCAATTAATGTTGCAATATTATGGCCTTGACTCGCTGTAAGCCAGTCCAGTAATTGAGATCCTCGCAGAGTAAGGTATCAATCCGACGGTCCCGCGTCGTCGCCTCGCCTCGCCTCGCCTCGCCTCGCTCGCCTCTTCCTCTCCCGTCCTCTACCTCCACGTCCCTCGCCCAAAATCACTCCCCCCCCCCCCTCCTTCGCTTCCCCTCCCCTCCCATTCAACCTTGACCCACCCCAGTCGGTCACGACCTGACTGGACTTGCCGCTGTCACTACTTTCCCATGTTGTGAGCGGCGCCAGTTTCGCACTGGATCCGCACTCTTTTTTGATATTTTCCCCTTCATTCTTGTTTTGATTCCCGCCCGTTGCCCGGTCCTCCGCCCGTTCTGTCTTCTCTTTTCTTGACTATAGGATTGTTCGCGCTGGATGCGCAATGTTGCAAATATGAGCTTCCTCAAGACAAGGTTTCTAGCCTCCCAAACCCCTTCCAAAGTCATCGCATTTCGTGGTGCTCGAGTCCATCTTCGTTGCTCTGGACTGGCGCCGCGAAATCTTCACCCACCAAGCCACCCACCCGTTATTGCTGCTGCTGCTGCTACCACTGCCACTGCTATTCTCCACCCCCGCCATTTTGATCACAATTCTGATGACGCCTTTTTTCGCGCCGCGCTGTCTCTGCCCGCACATGTCTCGATGGCCTCCACAAGAAAGCTGACCTTTTTCTTCTCTGTCGCAGAACCCACCAATTGTCTGCTGCCATGCAGAACTCGCCTACTTCGACTTCGTCTGGCGACGACCCCGCCGAGAACACGGCCGACGAGGAAGATTCCGAGGACTACTGCAAGGGCGGCTATCACCCCGTCCAGATTGGCGAAAAGTTCAAGGACGGCAAATACACAGTCGTGCGCAAGCTCGGATGGGGTCACTTTTCCACCGTCTGGCTGTCCAGGGACAACACCTCTGGAAAGCACGTCGCTCTGAAAGTCGTCCGCTCTGCCGCCCACTACACCGAAACCGCTATTGACGAAATCAAACTCCTCAACAAGATTGTCCAGGCCAAGCCCGACCACCCTGGCCGCAAACATGTAGTCAGCCTCCTGGACTCTTTCGAACACAAGGGTCCCAACGGCACACACGTTTGCATGGTTTTTGAGGTATTGGGCGAGAACCTGTTGGGCCTAATTAAGAAATGGAACCACCGCGGCATCCCCATGCCCCTGGTCAAGCAGATCACAAAGCAGGTTTTGCTGGGCCTTGACTATCTCCACCGCGAATGCGGCATCATTCACACCGACTTGAAGCCCGAGAATGTCCTCATCGAGATTGGCGACGTCGAACAAATCGTCAAAAAGGTCGTCAAGAGCGAGCCTAGCGACAAGGAAAACAACAGAAACGGCCGCAGGAGGAGACGGACTCTCATCACGGGCAGTCAGCCGTTGCCCTCCCCCCTCAATGCCAGCTTCAACCACAATAATCTCTTCCCCTCCACGAACTCTCACACGAGCCTCGGTCAAATGTTGCACGAAGGTATGCGACGTCCCCTCAGCACCCGCCACTTGTGTCCCCGCGAGTTGCGCCACCCACAAAGGTCCCGCTGCATGTAACGACCTCGTGGCGCATGGTTCTGGTCGCACAAGTTGGAAAAGCGCTAACAGCCTATGCTCAGGCAAAGGATCCAATGACTCTTCTCCCAAGCGCGACGCTGACCAGAAGACGCGCGAAAAGACGGCGTATGTATACCCCACCTCACAAAATAGTGGATGACTATACCTGAGACTGACCGCCTTTTCTCTGTGCAGCGACCTCCTCACGAAAGAAGTTTCGGGTATCTCCCTCGATAAGACGAGCAGCTCACCATCTTCCGGCGAGAAGCGCAAGGCCGAAGACGCCCACGCTTTCGACATCATTAGCGTCAAGATTGCGGACTTGGGTAACGCCTGCTGGACCAACCACCACTTTACCAACGATATCCAGACCAGGCAGTACAGGTCGCCGGAAGTTATACTTGGGGCGAAATGGGGCGCAAGTACTGATGTGTGGAGTATGGCGGCGATGGTACGTTTGCCCTCCGACGACCAACAGCTACTTCCAAAGACATTGAGAACTAATGAACCCCACCTCTAGGTTTTTGAGTTGATAACTGGTGACTACCTGTTCGACCCCCAATCGGGAACCAAGTACGGCAAGGACGACGATCACATTGCGCAGATCATTGAGCTGCTGGGGCCTTTCCCAAAGTCGCTCTGTTTGTCTGGCAAGTGGTCACAAGAGATCTTCAACCGCAAAGGCGAGTTGCGTAACATTCATCGCTTGCGACACTGGGCCTTGCCAGATGTCCTGCGCGAGAAATATCACTTCAAGGAGGACGAGGCAAAGCGCATTGCTGATTTCCTGACTCCTATGCTTGAGCTTGTCCCAGAGAAACGTGCCAACGCTGGTGGCATGGCAGGACATTTGTGGCTCGACGACACTCCCGGCATGAAAGGCGTCCGAATCAACGGACTAGAGGTGGGCAGCCGGGGAGATGGCATTGATGGGTGGGCGACAGAGGTGCGGAAACGGTAGGGTAGAGGGGGCAAACATAATGAGAGACCGCATTCGAAGCATAGGGGGCCACCATACACCAAGATGTCGACCCTAATTCATGGAAATGAACGGTTCAGGCCCCCCTCCTTGAACCAGATCCCCTTTGCACAATTTCTCTGCCTGCGCCCGATTATCTCTGTCTGTCGCACTGAACCATGCACTATTGGCATTGACCTATTTCTGCACGCATCTTGATGGCAACAAAGAAAAAGCGGCATGGTGCCAGGAGTTTTGCTCTTCGTGCTAGGGCCAAAGACGGACGGGACGTTCCAAACACACAAACACAACGACAATACGGCATCATCATCATCATCAAACAGCTACTACGCATGATAGTAATGGAGGGGGGTGTGAGGAGGCCACAAAGCAGAAGAAGCGGCAATCAAAGCCCCCCGCCTCTGAAGGAAACCACGTGTACAGGGCATGTCAGATTCCTGTTATGGAGGATTAGATAGAACTTTTCTTAGTTTTCTAGGTCAAGAAAGTCCAGCACTGTCATCAGCTTACAGAGAGAGGGAGAGAATTAGTTGCATGGAAGACAGGGAGGATGTGTCGGTGTTAAACTAGGCTGTGCTGGACTTGGGAATGAGACGCATCATGATTGGCTCATGTCTACTATGTGTGACCTCAAGCTGCCAACAGAACCTCATCTATCGACATGTCGTCACCAGGCCATGCAGCAACATCTTGAGTCCCCCTTTTTTGTGCAAATGTCACATTCTGTCTAGGAGTCCATGTCAATCCCTTCTACTCCTCCCATGACAAACCGGAACGCCTTTTGTGCCCGCCCAAAAAAAAGTTCAAGTCGCCCGTTCTGTCTCAGCCTCTCCCTTATCATGTGGATCAGAACGAGCCTCTGGCCGGCTCTGTGCTCGTCTCCATCTTGCCACACCTTCCCATAGGCGACTTCTTCGCTGGTAAGTAGCCAGCGAATCAGCCACCGCAAACCGGCAAGCTTCGTTACTACACCCCGCCATCATGACATGAGGCTCGCTCATCGCTTCTTGCCCTTCGCTGTCATCTTGCGGAATGCCTCCAGGCCGCCTGCTCCAATAGGGCGGTGATCCGGCGCACGAGACACGTCGTACGTGCTCTTTGGTGCGATTGTGTAGCTCGAAGGGAGGCCACCAGGACGAGCGCGGTTAGAGGTAACGACCGGCGCGAGCATGGCCTCACGTTCTGCTTCCCTGGCTGACTGCGAAGGCCGCTGGGGAAGGTTGAACTGCGAGCTGCCTGCCTGGCGCTGAGACATCTTGAGTGCCCTGTTTGAATAATTAGCAACGCCGTCTTGTGACACTGAACTAGGGAGACGTACTCGTAGTCGAACTCACGCGTCTCGATGTGGCGCTTCTTGTAGTCGTCCGTTCGCTTCAGAATCGGTCGACTCCAATCACCCAACAGCCGCTCGGCCATACGCTTGATGCCAGGCTCAGGCTTCTTCGAGCGGGTGTAGAAATAGACAACTTTTCCGATGCCGCTGCTGAGTAGCACCTCCTTTTCGATGGGCAGACGGATGAGGGCCTGGAAGATCTCTCTCTGGATGTTGTATGCTGGAAGAGAACCGTCGTTGAGGGGCTCCAGGAAGAACTTGACGTGTTGCAGAAAGTTCGTGTCAGGGTCGAGAATGGCATGCTGAACATTGTTGCGGTTGAGGAAGTCCTTCACCTGGGGTAGGAGCTTCAACTTGTGAACGGCGGGTTGGCCCGCCTCGCGCGCCGAATTGTCGGCCTCGCATGCTCTCTCCATCGCGACCTTCAGATCAGCTATCTGCTCGTCCATTTCATCTTCCAGATCCTACATCATGATGTTGTTAGTCAAGACTTGTCCTCTCTGGCCTGGGAAAGCGAGCGACCCACGATCTCGTCCTTCTTCTTCTTGCGCTTAGTAGGTCCCTTCATCGCGGCGTCCAGAGCTCGATCGATTGCCCGGCGTCTGCGCTCCTCAGGGGACAGGTGGGATTCATCATCAATCTCCGGTGAGGCAGCCTTGGATCGCGGCTTCCTCTCGCCGTCCGCAACAGCGCGTCTCGACTTCCGAGCCGGTCTGCCAGCTTCGCCATCCGCATCGCCAGCCGCGTCATCGTCGCGTGACCGTTTCTTGTCTCTTCGGCCCTCCTTTGGTTTCCTTGGCTTGTCTCCATCGGCTACCTTTCGCTTTCCAGCCTTGAGCGTCTTAGCGACGTCTTCATCGACAGTTATAGGGCGATCTTCAATGTTGGCCGTGGCAGGGTCGTAGTCCTCAAACTGGTCTTCGTCGATTTCCGAAAGGTTATCCGATTCCTGGTCGGAAAGATCTTCGGCGGTCGCGCCACCCGCACCCTCACGAGGCTCTTCGTTGTCGGCGTGGTCGTCGCGCGTTGGCGACTCGGGGAGAGATTCAAGGTCCGACATGTTGGCGACGATGGATGTGTGATGCTGAACGGGGGTTTGAAATAGCCCGGAGAGTGAGCTTTCAATCGCGGAGACGTAAGCAGCAGGTGCAGCCCTTCAAAGCAGTTGCCACGGCGAAAAGGTGATCGTAGGAAATGGGAATAGTTGATGGGTGAGATTGGAGAGGCGGAAGAGGCGTCGTTTGGCCCTTTGATTTTCAGTTGGTCCAAGCTTAGATAGAAGGGAGATACCTTAGGTAGGCATCTCTCGCAGCGAACCTCAGCCTCATCTGTTCAGCCACATCAGGCAAGCTGGCGGTACGTACCGCGCCACTAGAGTTCGACGGGACCAGTCCACCGGGAGGTTCCGTTGCCTCAGGCACGGTTTGTTTACTTCCAACAGACCTAAGATTCTGGTTTGTTCATTGACAGCAGCCCAGAACATTTCCTTACATGGTTGGTCACTACCACCAACACTACCCTGATTGATCGTCTGTGACGAGCTGTCGCACTGCACACTTTCTCACCAACACCTTTGCTTTCGCCTTCACCTCTCGTTCAATCTTGGCTTCGTCTTCCTTTGTTTTTTATTTTTATTTTCCCACACTTCTGCTGTGCATGCGAAAGCTCCAACATGGACCGTCGGACATATGAAAGCCCCATGGAATGGGAATACCAGGATCGTGGCCCTTTGGATGCAACCAGCCCGTTCTCCCACGTTGCAAAAAGCAGCACCAAAAACAGTACGTCCGCTTATGGATACACATATTCGCCGCCCCAGACCGGCCGCATATGCAATCACTTTCTTCCCGCTGACCGCGATTCCGTTGTAGTCTTCAACTCTCCGAATAAATTTGCCAGTCCTCGACCGAACTTGTTCGCCAGCAGCCCCTCCAAGCCGAACCCTTTCGCGAACAGCCCGTCTAAGCCACTACCCTCCCTGCCACCCCAGACTTCACTGTTCTCCCCGAGAATTCAGAGCAGCAACACCGCGCCGCCGTTCCGCAATCCTGCTTTTACGACACCGCGCAAGCCCTTCGATGAATCGGTCTTCTCAGAAGCTTCCGGCGCAGAGAGCAGCCCTGCCCTGACCGAAAATTCCGAGTTCCCGGAGGACACCCCCGAAATCGATCGATTCGGAGATATGAACATGGGCACAATGACGCCCTCCAAGGTTGACAAGAGCTTCCGCTACGCCAAAACTGGCTTGCAATCTTTGAAGCGCCATGCGCCAGGCAAAGGCGAGATTCCAAGAGGAGGAAGAGACTATCCCGCCATAAGGAAGCGGAAGCGTCATAACATGGACCGCGATGTTGGCGGAAGCGTACGCTTCCACGGTTCGCAGGACTGGGACTCGGAGGATGATTCGGAGGACGATTCCCGGCAGTCGTCTCAACGGAGCAAGGGCAAGAAGGGGAACAACCGCACCTGGATCGGCAACTTGTTCCATACTCTTGAGGAGCACCCGAATGCCCCAGAGAACCTATACCGCTGGATTCAGCTGATTGTCAACTGCGTCCTCGTCTCTGCGTTCGTGTTCTTCTGCTGGTCCATTGTGGATACAGTTCGGTCCGATATTAGAAACGCGAACGAAGTGGCTCGCCAGGAGATCGAAAGCAGGATGGCAGAATGCCGCTCGGAGTACCAGCTCAACGAATGTGCCAAGAAGGACAGGCCGGCGCTGAAGGCCATGTGTGATGAGTGGTATGAATGCATGATTCAGGACCCGTCAGCCATCATGCGCGTGAGAGTCACGGTCAAGCAAATTGCAGAAATTCTCAACGAGTTTGCGGGCGCGATGCAAGTCAAGGCTTGGGTAAGTTACTGGACACTACCGCCGTGAAGATTGATCCGCAATTGCTAAGCTTGTATGACAGGTCTTCTTCTTCGGCATTCTGCTTCTGTGTATCGTTGCAAATAACCTCACGCTCGGCCGCCTTGCAAACACGGCCAGCACAGATCGGCCTGCAGTGCACCGCGCAGCATCCGGTTCTGCTCCAGAGCCGTCAGTGATTCCTCAGCCCTCACAAGCATACATGTGGGTTCCGATTCAAACGCCTTCCCGCCGCCGACAACATCTCAAGTACGACGTGGATAGCGACGCTACGGACACGGATGCATCTCCGCCAAAGATGATTATGCCGCCGCGAACACCTTCGGGACGGCGAAGCCCGAGCAAGGGCGATCGGGACCGGCTACGGAGCCCGGCCAAATACGGTCTTAGCCCCGTCAAGGGCTACTGAAAAGTCTAATATGTCACTTTTCCTAAGAGGTTATAGGATACACATAAGACGCTCGGTACAATGCATGGTCTGGAGTTGTGAGGTTCATTTGTATAGTGTGAAATCCAGGGGACAGGGTTCTTGGGGTTGATGCGGCGTCATCTGGAAAGCAAGCTGGAAAGCTGAGGCCTGTTCCTAGAAAGGGTTAGGAAATGCGGGCTGGAAAGCCGAAGCACAGAGCCGAGCAGTACGGTGAACTCTTGTAACCGTACTTCGTTCTTGGCCGCGAATGCAAAAGTTCGTTTGTCAGTGGATTTAATTATTTCTGAAGCTTTCCGTTGGCCAACGTGAGCTAGAGACGCGTGTTTATGTTAGAGCGTGAGGTAACCCAGGAACCTACGTTCTGACAGCGGAATTGCTGATTATCCGTCAGTGAGGTCAGGGCACTTCCAAGTAGACTAAAGGGGCTGGTCTAGAACCCATGCTTATGGCTTAGTCATACATCTCTTGGGTGCTCCCGTTGAAGTGGACTTTTCTCCCGCGTCCAGCCCCTGCCAAATTCCATGACGTCAGTTTTCTCTCACTGACGCACGGAGAATTCGGCCTTGCCCTTCGTCAAGCCCCTCTCTCTGAACAGTGCCTGAAGGTTTCGTTCGTCTCTTGAGAGGGTGTGCCCTCGTCCTGAGATGATGACCACAGAGAGGCTGGAAAATACAGGGGATCCACTTCACTCTGGAAAGCCAGGAGTTGGCTATGCCGCTTTTCTACTGACACTGTCTACGTACAGGCAGCAACGAGCGGAGTGTATTCCGCCACAGCAGGTGTCCAATATGTTCCGTGTACTTGGGAACATGCTGCCACCCTCAGAGCTTGTTGGGTGTGTAACATGAGAGCAAGTCCTTACGTCAGGCAAGACATCTTTAGGGTTCTGACTCGATGGAAGCAAACGTTAGTTGAGAAGAAGGGCGTGGCTTCTAGGGGTTACGAAACATGAGCCGATGTGGCTTTTCGACGTGGGCTGAAGGACACCAATGTGCACGAGAATTAGGTAGCGAGAGAGACGATGCATCAGGTTAAGGGACTCTGGTGCTTCAAGTTGCCTTAGGTGCTGGAAATCGCCGGAGCAAAATAGCGAACTCGCCAGCAGTTGCGGCCTGAGGTATACTTCAACGTGAAGTCGACCTGAGGAACCCAGTTCCCAACCTCTTGATCTATGTAACATGGCTAGGGCGGAAGGCTTGAAAGAGCCCTCGACGCCCGGCATCAAACCTAGTGCCTCGGGCAATTCTGCTCGCAAGGCGTTGTCGCCAGCCTCGGGCGACCCGCGCATCCGTTGTATGCTACCTGACACCAACAAGAGTGCAAGGAAGTCCCTGTGATGAGCAGGGTTTCATAATGCAGCGCGGTGCTGGGGGCTCATAGACCACACCTAGGTGAAGCGGCGCCGAAATTGCAAAAGAGGAGCCGCCCGGAGGAAAATATCCAGGCGGAAGGGAAGAAAACGGCGACGCGGATACGGTACGGTGCGGTGCGGTGCGGTAGGTAAGAAGGGGGGAGGTTGGGCAGACATGGGGCCCTGCTTCTTTGCTCAGCTTCTGCCATTCACAACGCCGCCGCACGCGATGTCATTTCTTCCCTGCCGCTGCGCTTCGCAAACCATGGCATATCAGGTACCGGATGAAGACGATAGGACGGGTGGATGGGTGAGAATCGGGCTGGTCGAAGTATGCGCAAGTGCCGGTGAGGACGCAAGGCAGGAACAGATGCAAAGCCTTGAAAGATTTCACGGCAGCTATTGCGATGCAGATTCGAGGGAGTATTGCGATGGGCTGGAGGTATTTGTACTTCCGTCGCATTTGGTCAAAGTGAGAGGTAGGTAGCTGCGTTCCCTGCCTTACCGTCAGCATGGTGGACTTTGTGGTGGGGCGAGAGCTGCGAAGCTATGATCCATCCCACACGGTACCTTACCGTAGCTGCAAAACGGTACCTTGCTGAGTTAGCGCTTGCGACAGACGAGAGGGGAGGCCGCAAACCCAGATCACTCACTCCCCATCGGAGCTCTGGACAGTTTACCATGATGGATTGAGGCACCGCAAGTGGGCTCGACCTCAGGCACTCGAGGTATGAGCAGTGGAGGTGGAAGAGTACTGCGTATTTGATGTATGTAGAAAGATGTCTACGTGTAAGCTGAAGGAAAGGCACCAAAGTAACCTTCAATGCCTTGCCATCACCGAGGCTTCATTGTCTGGTTCCGTAGGTTGGATTGCCCTTCCTCACCGGCAGCTTCGCAGGTCGTCCCGTGAGAGGCTCATTAAGGTACACTGTAGCTTAGCTGCACACACACAAACACCCACACACCCACACTCACACACCTGGTCTGGTCAAGGCAAGGAAGGTATCTCATGCAGACCAGAGCTACCGTGGCTCTGCCTTACCAGCTGCCTACCGACCTGACCTGACGCGGGATGGGCCCTACCTGCCTGACCAAACTGGACGTGCGAAAAAAGTTTCTCCTCCACCTCAAGCGTAAAAACAGCTGGATCTAGACCTGGGACCTGGACCTTGTTTGCGCACGAAGCTCTGCAATCTGGGGAAGGAACTGCCCTGCACCTGCATCTGCACGGCAATAGCCACACAGCTTTGGAGACAGAGACCGAGATACAGAAAGAGTCTGTGCCTCAACCCGCTTGTGTCCAGTCTCCGTTACCTGGTCCCGACCACGCCGCCGCACCGTCATCCCTTCCCGCCTTTTCCACCACTTTCCTCTTCATCACGACGGCCAACCCTTTTTTTTTTTCCCTTGGTTCCCATTCTAAATTCTTTTCGCCCTCACCGCCCCACGCTCATAGTGCTTCCGATGTCCTGTTCCCCGTCCCAACCCTCGATTAGTACCTAACTACATACACTTCCGACGTATGCTTCAATCGTCCGCATACCAATAGCAGGAGGGGCCGTGAGGTGCCTCAATCGTCGAACGACCAGTCGTCTCTCAGGACCTCCCACTCACGACCCCGCGACTCACGAGACGCCACTGAACCGACTGCAAAAGCGACGAAGCCCATGACTACATACCAATCGGCCGAAGCTTAGAAAGCGACAGGTCCTCAAACCTCTACAGCTTGCCCCACGATCCATGCCTTGGTCCCTCGCGCCTTCGTTACCCTCCACCGCCCCGCGCCAAATCACTTCGCGTGCGCCTACTATCTGGTTCTCCATACTCCTCGACAAATCCAAACCCCGTCGTGGTCGCGCGATCCCGCGTCAGCTTCATTCCTAAAGCTCTGTTGCCTTCGATAAGATACATGTCGTCTTGCGCCCGTCTTTGAACGGCCTCATTATGACAATTCGCATACAAAGCTTTGAAGGTCGCGTTTGCTCTGTGGACTCGCCTCGAGGCCACCCTCAGTCAACGTGAAGCGCGCAAGTACTGCCGATATGGAGGAGGCATCCGGTGGCCAGTCGCAGGCCCACCCCGGCGCCGGCGCTGCCTCCTCCGTGGGGGCATCATCTGCTTCCGCTGCCGCCTCTTCAGCCGCCCCCGTACCTGCTTCGACTCCAGCAGCGCCTTCCGCTGCGACTCCAGCCTCTACTTCCGGTCCCGGCCAGCTGTCCAAGAGGAGAAGAGGACTGGGTGTTGTAACACCCAACGCCTGTACCGAGTGTCGGAAAAAGCGTGCCAAGGTATGCGATTGTCAGGCTTCGTGACACACCAAGGTGCTCTCACTCCATTTCAAGTTCCGTTATCTGACCTCTTTGCTGCTATTAGTGCGACGGCCAAAAGCCATGCGGCCGCTGTAAGGCTCAGAAAGACGTAGAGTGTGTGTACGAGATCCCGGTTCGCCAATCCAAGGAGCATCTCCGGACCGAGATCGAGCAACTGCGCCAACGTCAGCGCTCCAGTGACCAGGTCATCGCAGCGCTGGTGCGGTCCGACATGTGGGAAGATGTGCTCCAGCGCCTGCGCAACGGTCAGAGCCTTGAGTCAGTATCGGAATGGCTTGGCGGTACCCTCCCATCTGGCGGCGGTCCTCGGCCGTCCTTCAGCCGTCCGGCTGAGCCATCCAGTGAAACGAGCGGCAGCTTGAATACACGCTCTGGATACCCAGGATCAGGCCCTGCCCCAATCAGGACAAGAAACCTTGGGGGAACTGGATCGGTGACCATGAGTCCCAATACAGGACAGTCAGGATTGCGCCAGGATCTGGATCCCAACAGTCCTTGGCACCTCTCGTCGCATAGTCAAAGCACTAGGAGTAACTCTCATCCTGACTTGATGAACTGGAGTGCAGACACAAATAGGCTCCCCCAAGGGCCCATTGATTCATGGCCGGAAAGTGCTAGTAACACGGAGGCGTCTGAGGGTGGGAGGTATCAAGGGCTTGATCAGGTTCTCGCACCACTTGAGTTGCCTGACATGAAGCTGCCCCCTGAGAACTGGACGACTATCACCGAGGACGGCTCTCTGGTTCAACACCTACTTGCCCTGTACTTCTGCTGGGAATATCCAACGTTCGCGTCGTTGAGCAAAGAGCACTTCCTTAGAGATTTCCAAAACGGTATATCCCGATACTGTTCGCCCATCTTGGTCAATGCCCTCTTGGCCTTGGGATGCCGCTTCTCCAGCAAGTCCAGTACGCGAGCTAACCCTAGCGACCCTTACACTTCGGGTGATCACTTTTTCAAAGAGGCGCAGCGACTCTTCTACCTCGAGGACGACCACCATACTTTAACAACCATCCAGGCTTTGGGGATAATGTCCATACGCGAGGCTAGCTGTGGACGGGATTCGGAAAGTTGGTACTACGCCGGTCAAAGCATCCGTTTGGCCATTGAGATGGGGCTCCATCAGCTGCAGGACGACGGAGACCATGATGAGTTTGCGGTTCAGGCTGCCACTTTCTGGGGCGCTTTCGCTCTAGACCAGTAAGTCTATTGCCAGGGTGCGAAGCATGTGTCCTAGCTAACTGCCCCCTAGCGCTTGGTCTCTGGCGACTGGCTCGCTTCCCCAATGTTCATGTTTCCCTCACCTGCCGCCGAAGCCCGCCATAATCGATGATATTGAAGCGTCATTGTGGATTCCTTATACCGATGATGGTGAGTCTATCTGTAGTTGTTACGATCATGTTTGACTGATCAATGCTTCAATAGGCGCGCCGCTGCAACGCTCAGCCGAGCAACCTTCCAATGTTCGGTCCGTTTACAAGTGTTTTTGCGAACTGAGTGAGCTTGTACATCAGAGCCTCTACATACTCCACTCTCCAGGCAGGCCGTTGACCAGCCGTGACCTCCTCGGCATCTACACCCAGTACCTGAACTGGTATGACAGGATACCTGAAGTCCTCAGGTTGGGTCATAATTTCACCCCCGCTGTGCTCTTTGCGCAGTAAGTCTCCCTTTTAACACGAATCTCAGAAGGTTTTCGCTAAACTCATCCCAGCATGTATTACCATTTTGCGATCCTTCTCCTCTTTCGGCCGCTGATTAAACTTCGAATCATTGGCTCCAAGCTACTACCAAGAGACGTGTGCTGTCAGGCCGCAGATGCGATTCAGGGTCTGCTACGCTCCTACTCGCAACTGTACACCTTGCGTCGGACACCCTCATTTGTGCCCTACTTCGTTCTGACATCTGCTATTATGCATTTGGCCATCGGAGCAATAGCCCCAGCCCCGCAGAGGGACTCTGATGAATCAGGCGAGACAGCGCCCGAGTCGTCTGCTGGAACGTCGCATCATCCCCGTGGCGTAGAAGCAATCAAACAAGGCATCCGAGATCTGGAGGAGATGGCGCCGTGCCATCATTTCGCGGAACAAGCGCTCAATATCCTGCGGTACCTGGCCAAGAAATGGGGTTTGGAGGTCGACATGGGCTCAACACCCACTTCGGATGCCGAGTATGCACAGCTTGCCAGGCCGTACACTAGCAGTCTGAATTTCTTCGCGCCAAATGTCCTCGAAGACGATTTCATTTGCGTGTGGGGAGGCGGCCTTGGCAGCGGCGAGGCGATGGAATCGAAGGCAGCAGCGGGAACGGGAAGTCAGGAGAGCCCGTCAGTATCGCGAGCGGCTCAAATCATGGAGAATCCTCTTTTTTGGCCATTCCCCATGCAAGGCCGCCCAATGCTTCCGACCGGGCGTGAGTTGAAGGAAGCCGGATTTGAGAGGCTTTCGTAGGAGTGTGCTCCGGAGGAAACGCCGGCAAGCCGAGCAACCAATTGGGAGAGGAAAAGGTACACCACTGACCCATATTGAGTCACAAACGCCTCTTCTTCCCCTGTGGAATATGGATAGGGCGAATTGCGTGGGAGGATTTCACCCGTTCCGGAGTTTGGCCTGGGGGCAAGGCATGTCTGTTTTGTGATACCCCGAGCCCTTTCCCGTGAAGACACAGACGACTCGGTGCGATTGTGATCACGGGTATTCCCAATCCGACATCTGTATTATCTTGAATTGTACGGTAGCTGTGTCAAGAAGGGACGATTCTATGCAGGAGACTGAAGAGATGCAACAGTTCACGCGGATGTGCCTACACGCGGCGACTGGTGCCTTTCACATGGAAGTCAATCGGACGGGATGTTATCCGTATTGAAAGGACTGAAGCTATGCAACTAATGGATTGCGCAGGTCCAGGGATGGTCGTTCCCGAGGCATGCAACATAATTTCATTGGCTCAATGCGGCACACTGCTCGGTTGGCCGTGTACTTTCCCGCCTCATGCTGCAATCTCCAGTCAGGTAGTGACTTTACTTTGGGTTAGGCACCTTCCACCTGTGCTCGCTGTACCGTGCCTGTGCCAGTGCCATGGCCGAACGGCTTATGACACCCAGCCTCGGCTCAAAGTCGGCGCCCGGGCTGACCTCAGGCTAGCGCAGGACGGAGACTGTGGGAGGCAGGTAGAGGCAGCTGATTTAGCAACACCCAGCGCATCCCGTCACGCCCGTCCACGTCGCGATGCGCCGCGCTGAGCACTTCATCACTTCCTCTTACCTCACCACTTTCCTCTGTTTGGACCTTCTTGTGTTCAGAGCAGTAGTTCAACAACTAATTCGCGCTTTGCCGCCGATACCCTCGACATTCTTTAATCACGCCCATTTTTCGTCCTCTTGCTGTCATCCCTTCGTATTTCGACTCTCCTAACCCTTCTGTCGCTTCCCATCTCTAGTCGCCGTCTTCAACTCGATGCCGTAGAGACCTCGCGATGTCGACCTCAGCCGACGTTCCCAACAAAACACGGCTATCGCACCAGCCATTACCTATTCGTGCTGTGCTATCGCTGCCGCCGCAATGGCTGCAAATGTATGATGAATTTATCACCAAGAACGCCAGCCAGGTTTCGCAAATAGAGTCGGCCCTCCGGTCTCTGACCTACATCATCCCTGGTAATGCCACTCGCCGCGAAACGACTCGATTGCCTTCCTACTAATATTTGAGCCCCAGGTCGGTTCCGGGACGCCGAAATCGCATCCGAAACTCTGCATTCGAGTGTGCAACTCCTTTCACTCTATCATGATACCCTACTCATGCGCGCCTTGTCGCGCATCCCTATGGCACGACTACCATCACCCCACAGTCGGTATACCAAGCACTGGACTCAGCGCAGCCCCATGTACCGCCGAATTGCCATGCTCTTGCAGATGGTAACCTATACTCAACTACTATGCGAGATGGCCGCCAAAAGACGAGGAGGCGAACGCAGCAGATGGCGCGTTATCGTCCTCCTCGAAGCTATCAAAGCCATCTGTCGTCTTTTGCTGCTTCGAGTCACTCGCGCCCGTCCTATCGTCACGCCAGTCCTACCCGAGCGGGAACCCATTCCGGAAGAGCCAGAGTCGGAGGAGGACACCGGCCTGAAGGAGCTGATGGGCGATTCGGCCAATGGTCATGCCTCCGAAGCTGGGGATGAAGCCCCCAAGCCCCACGAGAAAGATTGGTCGATGCCCAGAACTGGCATGAGTTTACCCTCTTTACCGAATGCCGGTGACATCAGTGGCTACCTGTTGAGCAAGGTCTTAACCGCTGACGATGTCAAGCCAGCGGCAAAGCTGCTGAATCAACTTCAGGGTAGCGCGCAGGCAGCCGAAGTGCTTCACATACTTGCACCATTCGTGTACGCTGTCGCACTCTCAAGGAGCAAGAACAAGAAATCCTGGACACCGTGGCTTGTTGGGTTGACCGTCGAATACGCGGCTCGCCAGCTGAGGGACCGTAGTTTCAGGACTACGCCTCTAGAACGCGACGAATGGAGCAAGAGAGGCTGGGCCATGGGATGGTGGACAATGCGTGGGGCATTTTATGAGAACATTATGAAGGGCGTCGTTGGAGGCGTCAGATCAAGGGTACCTGGGATCATCGGTGGCATCCTGGAGGACTATGAGTATCTGTGGGAAAATTACTACTTCAGCACCAGCGCTTGAGCACAGGTTGCGATTGGCAGCCAACCTTTGCGGCCCGCAGGTAGACTGACTGGAGGTCGCTGCCTTGCTCACATCTGAGCAAGATTTCGACAAGACTTGCTGGACGCCGAGGTTTTGAACCATGTCCTCAAGGGTTTTGCCAGACCGCCACACGCACACACGCACACACGCACACCAACAAGATATGCCCTGCAAAAAACAGCAAAGCACGAGCACAGGGGCAGGTTTTCTTTTTCTACATCTACCATGCGGACGACTGGGTACATTGTGCAAGCTGAGACATGTTGGTCAACACGCCTGAGTCGCTTTCGAGAATGGTCGATGCCAAGTCGAATTACACTGCTCCGACGGGCGCTGGGGAACTGGTCTCGTTGGGGCCGCACCATGCGGCTCATTGGCGATGACCAGGGCTAAGACATATTGTTAACGGCCACCTGTCTTCCTGCAGAAGTACATGGCGTACAGGGAGACCTTAGAGAGCTTGACTTATCCTAGCGGTTAAGGCCCACGGAGATTTTCCCGGTACTGCGGTTTGCGGTGTGCAATTTCGTGGCTGAAGCTGAGATGATGGAGGATGGCGGGGAGCGACCATGATCGTCCCCCGTCACCCATCCTACACGATCCGAGACAGCTGCCCTACCCGCTGCGAAAAAGGGATGCGGCTATGACGCCGTCGGGAGTTGTATTCATCGGGGATGGCGGATTATGTTCCAGCAACGCTACGCTGAGACTGATTCTACCCGCGTCTTACCAGACTCGAGCGAAGTTGAGCCGCTGTTCTTCTGATTGTCAGATGGCTCAGTGGCATTCCCGAGTAGGATGTCAAAGTTGAAGACGACATGGAGATACGTGTTGCGGCTCGTGATAATGTAACGAGGATGAATGTCAGAAGGGTTATTGGACATTGCTTGGGCGGATTAAATTGTTTCCAGATTTCACATCAACACCCATCTGTATCCCTGTGAACTGAGTTATCCCTTGGTCGCCCTTGAAGCTGAAGTAATTTGATTGCTATTTCCGTCGGTCTTGGTGCATTGTTTTGCTCGTCGCCCCGTAAACCCCTTGCCTGACAGGCAGCCCACGTTTTTTTCTTGAGAAGAAGCAGCAGCAGCAACACACCGCTAATTGACTTGGAGGGCAGAGCTTAGGCAGGGGTTGGATGCCACGCTGATTCGAGCTGGAGGTGCGGCACATGGATGTCGATCTTATGCCGGATGGCAACGGCGTCTGGGCCGGCTGTGGCATATTGCTTTTTCGAGTTCCACGTCGTCAGGGCTAGGCCTCAAGTGAGTGGTCTATTCCGTGGCTCATTCGGGCCTCAGGTGGCAGGCATGTGCAAATTCTTCACACGGATCGGAATTCGAGTCCTGCCAGCACCCGGAGATGTGGTCCTGAGTCGCACCGGGCTGGGCTGGGCTGGACTGGGCAGACTAGGGATGGTAACTTTATGGCATCACATCGCATCTCGAATGCCAGACAGTAACTGAAAAGCATATGCCTACGTCGTCGACGGTGGCAGGGAGTCCATCATTCAGCAAGTTGGGCTGCATTTACCGGCCATCAGCTCGAATAACCTGCATATCGGCATCATTGAGGCCCAGTCAATCGGGTCGTCATCCGTCATATTTCGCTTGCACAAGTCATCAGGGGAACATGGACGTCACGTCCGAACCGATGGCAGCCTTGAAGGAAACCATGCAGAGTCCAGCCCCGTCTAAACAGACTCAACAGCCTTTATCTAGACACAGATGCAACCCCAGATAATATCCGTGGCGCGGTGTAGCTCGACAACGGTTGGGTCAAAAGTGGGAGTGAGGCATCCATACAGCAAGTCCTGAACGACCCAAGTCGTCAAGACATACGGATACCACGACAGAGCGGCCGGAACCCAGCCGCGAGTCAACGGCCACTTGCGAGTTACGCCTCCGAGTATCTACAAGACGGCAGCCAGACGGATCAGCATGGATGCTGTTGCCGCGAAGAGAAGGATGCAGCAGAGAGAGTACGTATCCCAGTGACGAAGCGAAGCCAAGACGGTCATATCAGGCCATCTCCACTGGTCATTCCATCGTCTCTTTGACGCGGTATGCGAAATTTGAATCATCGCGGATCCATTTTCGAGTGGGAATGAGTCCGGAGGGCTAGGAGTGAGGAGGGGAGGGGCTAGAAAAGAAAAAAGCAATATCCACACCGGCCCTAAGCCTCAACGAGATGCGAATGCAGCAAGCTACGCAATCGAAAACGTTGCCCATTGGCCTGTCTTCCCCAGATCTTGCCCACAGTTTTGGGGCAGTCGACTATCGGCCACTTGTTCGTCTATCGATCGGAGAGTTGTGGATTAGTGCGCGGATAGCTATGGATAGGGTTTCTCTGTCAAGACGAAGTAGTGTTGATAAATGGATAGAGATGGACCATCCCTGAGAAGAAGGGTTTGTTCCGAGCCAATCCAAGCGTGGCTAGAGGAGGCGAGACAGGCAAGGGTTGCTGGCTGATGGGGTAAGTCAAGACACAGCTTGCAGGAATCTGCAACTCATCTGCGTCTTCCTATTCTTCGTACGTCCGTACCGGGGGCAGTTGTTTCTTCTCAGGACTGACGAGCATGACAGCACATCGGCGCGCAGAGTGGCAGCGGCACGACACCACTCGACAGGGGGTTGGTCCATGATGCATATGTTGATTGTTGGGTGTCTTGCCTTGCTCGAGCATGGAACCCAACTTGGGAACCGAGCCTGAAGCCTGAGCCTGCCCTGCCCTGCCCTGCCCTGCCCAGTCCTGCGCTGCCTGGGCCTCTTCCTGTCTGGCATGAACAGCGGCAAGTTTCGTCTGATGTCGTCTGGCCTTGCCTTGTCCATCTGAATCTAGCCTTGACTTTGGACGCTGCAATCGATGGTTGTCAATCGGCTTAGCTGTCTGTCCCTGGCCTGGCCCTGATCCCGATGACGCCGACGCCGCTCCCCGGGCCTGTACCTTTACCCCTGCTTGTTGTCGTCTTCTCCCTTGTCCGCTGCTCCTGGATAGGTACGTCGTAGTACGTCGAACCCCAGCCCATTTGGGCTCCAGTCAAGATTACCTACTGCAGACCATCGCGGCGTGTCGTACGTACGGATACGTACCCGACTCTGCACATGCGCTCCGCGTCTGCAGAATGGAACCTTGCTATGTATTGCATAGCTCCAGAGCTATCTCTCGCTCGTCTTCGGGACTGAATGTACCCAGTTTACGTACATATAGATAGTGAGACGTGTCTGGTAGCGAGTGCGGCGCCAGCGACGACGACGACGACGACGACGACGACGAAGACGAGGCCAGAGAGCCGGAGTGTCAGAGTGTCCCCATTGCTTTTTCCTCGCGATACTCTGAGACTAGGGGCAGCCACCCAGGACCACTCGCTTTACCCTTCTTTTTCTGATTCAGGCTGGGAGGAAGAAAAACAACGCTGGCAAGAGCAGAAACAACCCTGAGCACGCCGTCTATGGATCCCACCAGATCGTGAGCGGCAGGGGAATAGTACCATCAGATCACCCACCCACACGCGCGCGCGCGCGCCCATACACGCACACACACACACCCTTCCTTTCATCATTCTCACTCCCGTCGCACTGCTGTGCAAGACTCAACTCGCCGCTCATCTTACATGACGGCTCGCCTCCGCCCATCCCTAGTCTTTTCCATTTTATATTTGGTGGTCCTTGTCCATCTGCAGTCACCCGTGCCGACAAGCTCAGACCAAACAGCCCCAGAAGCTTGAAGCTGTCCATCAACATCAGATACCACTGGACACAGCCAAGCATAACCTCGGCGGCAACCAGTCAATCGTCCGACGGCCGATAACCCAGGAACGAGACGCCCGCGACATGAGCTTGACCATCTCGAATCGATCTTTTGGGCATCACGGTTCTATCGGGGGAAACGCTTTTGCTCCGTTTCCCCCACCACACCATGGGTATCCCATGCATCGCCAACCATGGCCAACGACTCGTCCGCCTGTCCAGGTTCAGCTACAGGACCGAGACAACGCTACTGCCTTGATCAATGCGAACAGTGTGCGTCATAATACCGGAATATCACTTCAGGGTAAACACTTCGACGCCATTTCCTTCCCCTCCACGGCGTCCACCACAACTCCAGCCTCCAAGAAGTCAAACGACGAGGTTGAAAGTCACAGCCAGACTGCGAGTGTCACTAGCAGCGGATTTGCAACACCAGCTTTAGGACCCACAGTCGGCTCTATCAACCCCTTCGATCTATCTACAACCACTTCAAGTACGCCTCGCCATGTTCTCATCCGCGTGGATGGTGATGCCGGCTCCTACCTCGATAGTGTCACTGGCCAACCGGCATTTCAGGAACAGAATCTCCCTTCGGAGTTGAATGGCTCGTTATCAGTTAGTAACGGGGACCCGATTCAGACGGGCTGGAGTGTGGACTATGCGGGCCTGTCCCGTACATCCCGAGATTATGGCAATGGAATTGGCTGGCGATTGCAGGAAGCCGAGGCCGTCGCCGACCCTCACCAGACGTGTAGTTGGCCCCGGAAATTTGTCTGCTCTTTGTGTTCATTACGATGGAATGCCGTTCCCCTACCAGCAAAAGTTATCCGCGGCGATGTCAGTCAGAAAGACAGGATCGACTTAAGAATCGTAAGCGAAACGACACCATCGCGCTGCCATGACAATTAATGTTGCTGACGACAACCAGCCGAATCCGACAGATGCTAAAAGAGATCCAACCTTCTCTCGACCTGGGTGCTCCGAGGTACGTTGTGGCAATGTGACGTGACCAGAGAGTGTCGGGCTGACAATGGGCCAACTCACAGTTTCACTACTATCTCGATCATGAATGTTCCGCCAACGAGCCGTGCGTTCGGGGCCTTTGCCAAACTTGCCGACCTGTGTCCCTGTTGCCAGACTTGCAGCCTACGACGCACTGCTGCCCGCCGCAGATTGCTGAGCCGGGGTATCTCAAGGAGATTTATCGCTGCATTATGGACAACTGTGCAT